TAGCACTTGGGATTTAGAAGACTAGTTAGCAACATAAAGAATGTTTCCAACCGGAACAGTGTATGATGTTGAATAGTGAACAAAACGATGGACATTACCTCAATAATTTTTTTTCTCAACAGAATATTCGATGCAAGAACTTAATTTAGGCTCTTAAATTTTCTTGGTCGGTCTCTTATTGCCACTCAAGATTTAACAATATTTTCTAATTTTCACTCTAATGACAAAACATAACTATTTTCACTCTAATGATAAAACATAACTAAATTTTTTAACTTATTTTTAGAGTACCTTATTTTATCTCTTCACTCACAAAATTCTCATTTTAACTTGTAAATTACTTTTCTAATTTTTAAGTAACCTCGTTAAATAGTTGCATATGATTATATATATATATATATAGGAATTGATAAGTGTATATTTTACCTAGTAATTATGCCTATTTTGACACTTATCTAAGTTTAAAAGAAATTTGTATTTTATCCCAAAATTATTACAAAAATCAAAAGGTTTTTGTGTAATTTAATTAGCTTGTAAAAGAGTTGATGAAAATTTTGCTTATAAGCCTTTTTTCATGTTTTGCAGGAGTCAATGAAAAATTTAAAGCTTCAAAACACTCAAAACCACTCAACTATTTGGAAAAAACTAAACGGATAAAAGACAAAGTGCAAGACTTGGAGTAGAATCAAAACCACTTAGCCATTTGAAAAGGGTTAGACAAATTAGGTCCAGAGAAGGATAGAAAATTAGTCTCCCAGGAACTCAGCAGATCTAAAAGGGTTCAATTAATAAAATTCCTTTACTATGAAAGATTCTTCAAACTACTCAATCATTTGAAAAGAGCTGAGCAGTTTGCTCTCTCTTCTACATACTCTATTTTATTTGTTGATCATATTTTAAGGAAAAAGAGAGAGAAGATAGGGAGAAACATCATAGCGAACATGACAAGAAAGGTAGAACAAAGAAGAATTCTGAGGATCATCTGAGAATGGGAATTCTAGGATTACTTTCTCTTTCTTCTACACTTTCTCTATATATTCTCAAATGGCTCTCATCACTATGAATGGTTGATCTTTCTTTTTGTTAGAGTTGAATGTAATTCATCAAACTCTTATATATTCCTTTTGATTTATATATATATATGTGTGTGTGTGTGTGTCTGTGTGTGCGTGTGTGCGTGTGTGCGCACGCGTGCGTGCATGTGTGTGTGTTTGTGTGTGTGTGTGTGTGTGTTTGTGATGTTTTATTATTTAATATTAGTGGTTTGATTCTATTTTTAATGCTAAGGTGACTTGATCATTTATTCTTTAATCTTTGATTTGAATTTTGGTTAGAAAATATTTTCTAAATTTGTTTTGAATCAAATCACCTAATAACTCTAAAGGTTAAAAATAGATTTAGAGTTCTCAGTTGAACAAATTCTTAAACACGAGATTTCTGATTTGATAAATAAAGAAATCATTTATTGAATTGAAATTCTTAGAATTTCTAAATGCAAAATTGATATGGAATGACTTTAAAGAATTCAATAACAATGAGTAATAGAAATTATATATAGATAGTCTTAGAAAAATATAAGAGTGAAATCGGTGAAACTCAATCCCAACAAATTCCTATCATGTTATCTCTCAATTTTACTATTGTTTGACATGTTATCTTCTTTACAAACTTAATATTGAAATCAACATGTTTATATTCCATTGTACATCTTTTTATTACAAGTTTTAGTTAGGATAATAGAAATTATAGAATATTTACCAAGTTCTTGTAGATTGACAACCCAGATTCAATTTTTAAACTATAAAAGACTTGGTGTGCTTGCCATAAAATCTCAACTGGAGTTTTATAAGGTCTCATTTGCTCCATCGATCGACATTCTTATGTTGCTTAAAATTAATAACACATATATTTGAAGAATTATTGAAGGTGAAATTGGCAGAAGCTCATGCAGATGGAGTGCTTCTTTTGTGCCATAGTTTGTTGGTGTTTTAACACTGCGATTGTAGGAAGCTATATAACTATATATTGAAGAAGAATAAACAACCGGATGAAAGGCTTTACCTTGCTTCTATTGGGCATTTTCATGCTAAATAATTTAGCAGCCACCACAGTGAGAGACACTATTAATACAGTGCAACCTATCAATGATGGCCAGATTATAGTTTCAGCCTGAGAAACCTTTGCATTGGGATTCTTCAGTCTAGGAAATTCAAAAAATCGTTATGTTGGTATTTGGTACTATAAAATTCCTATAAAGACAGTAGTATGGGTTGCCAACAGAGACAACCCTCTTACTGACTCATCAGGGGTTCTGAAGCTCAGTGAAACTGGAGTTCTAGTGATGTTGAATAGTGAACAAAACGATGGACATTACCTCAATAATTTTTTTTCTCAACAGAATATTCGATGCAAGAACTTAATTTAGGCTCTTAAATTTTCTTGGTCGGTCTCTTATTGCCACTCATGGCTCGTTCCAAAACTGGAACGGCCCGTTCGGAGTTCGCATTTTCCACATAAAATTTATTTTTGGAACGGGCCGTTCTGGATTCCACTGGAAGCGAAAATACTCTAGCATAATCGATTATGTTTGGCCACATAATCGATTATGGCCTTGCATAATCGATTATGGCTGAGCATAATCGATTATGTGGCCAACCATAATCAATTATGCTTCCTTCGTATAATCGATTATGCATGCATGGTACAGGGCATTTTCGGGTTTTCACAAATCCTACGTGGCTTTCTTCTCCTTTCTTCGCTTTTGTGCGAGGATAGCAACAGTGCTTCTCCTCCCTTTTCTTTGCTTTTCCTTCGTTGCAAATCACCGGAAACAAACACACACTTTCCTCGCCTTTCGTTGCTCGTAAACAGTACATCACCCGAAACAAACACTACCTTAATCCAAACAACCTCACTTTTCACTCACTTTCCCTTCAAATCCTTCTTTTTCCACTTTCCCTTTTCCATCCTCAAATCCAAACAAAGGCTTAAAGTGCATGTTTGTGAAGTATAAAAAAAAATAAAATAAATAAAAAATATGAGTTATGTTGATTATATATGTACATGTCTTTGTAACATTAACTGTATAGTATAGGGATCAAAATCTTCTGTTTCCGACTCCTGTCCCCAAATCCTGTATCTCCAATCACAAAACGCCATCACATAATTATTTTTAATTTTAATTTTAATTTTTAAAAAGTGTAACTGTGAAGAAGCACATGCGGCGTCACATCAGATAAAACACAAATGTGGAACCTTCTCATTAAATGGGTAGAGGCTATATGCATAGTGGTGAATACTCACATAGTATACGTTATCAATAATAATGCGTACATTTGAGATGGTTACAAAAAAAAGCTGGCGCACCTTCCACGAAGGAGAACAACATCTCAGTGAAAAAGAAAGCATTTGTTGCAATAATAAAAGCTCTCATAAGTTCCAAAACTGAAACATTCACATCATATTTATTGACCTGCCACTTGTCATCATTATTTTCACACCCTTCCTCTTTAAACAGACTAGTACTACCATACTTCTTTTAACAGTAAACCAAATTATTGCCCCCAAATTTACCCACACAACAATAGATATATATATAAATCTTCTTCATCATAATTTTATTTTTTAATTCATTACTCTCTCCTTTTGTAACACAAGAATACATATTTTTAGACAATAATTTTAATTTTTTTTATTATACCTTCTTTATTTTTACTTCATAATAAATGTATATTAGTTATCATATAAATTAATTAAAAAGCAAATAAAATATAAAATATAATTGATTATATAATAATTAATGTGGTCTAAAAATTTGAAATTGATAAATAAATATAAACAAAGTTTTATTAAAAATCCGACAAACAAAAAAGAATGAAAAGAATATTTCTGTCTGTGTACTAATTTAAATGTATGAGATCATATCAATAATTATTATTAATTGTATTCTTATGTCACCTAATATATAATTCTTAAATAATAATAAATTATTATTTTAACATTATAGAGATATCAGGATAAAATAAAATAAATTGTAAATAACACAAACATTATAAATAAAAATATATTTATATATTAATATAAAAATTAATCTCCATATATTGTCAATATGCTTTTTTATATTATCAATTAATATTTAGATATACCTCTTGAAATAATTATTATAAAAAGAATATCATATATATATACAACAATCTATAATTATATAACAATATAAAAAAAATTGTACCGATAATTTATACATATTCTAATTAAATTAATGTGTTCTTAGTTTAAGCAGAGATATAAAAAGGAATAATATTTTGTAGACATGAAAAACTACTCTTCCTCGTGAGAAAAATAGGCATAGGGGAGGGAAAAAGTAATTATAAGCGGTAGGTAAGTGGTAACAGTATGGAAGGGAAAGTACACAACCAGACGTGAGAATGAACCAGTTCGAAATTCTTTCAACTTGTTAGTTGATCCTTTTTTTTTTTAAATATAATTTTTTATATTTAAAGTTTTATACACTCCTTAAAAAATATTTAATTTTAATATATTATATCCAAAATATTCTCATTTATTGTTTCTTTAAAAAAAAACATCTAGAAATAAAAATAGCAATTTGTTAAATAAAAACATGTAAAAATAATGTTAATCAACTAATATTACTTAAAACGTGAAAAACATCTAACATTTTTTATATAATAGAGAAAACCCATATAAAACATCATTAGTACTTTGAATTTGAGTAATAAATGTACAATTATAATAAATATACTTTGAGAAAGTTTCAAAAATCATTTATAGTACATTTTTTTTTTCTTTTTTGTACTAGCTAGTGTTTTAATAATGCTTTATCTTAGACTAATTAATTAGAAGGTAAATAAAGTCTGATAGATTATTTTGGCAAGAATCAATCTTGGTACTACAAGGAAAGATTCATGAATAGAAGGTATAATAATATTAAAATTTAAAAACCCCATATCTTAATTGGCTGTTTGTGATTATTCATCATATATAAACAGAAGACCCTTCTGAGACAAGCTACCAATATCATTCCTCAGCAGAATCAGAGAGAGAGAGAGAGAGAGAGTGAGGAACAATATTAAGAAGAAGGACAACAACAAAGTGTTCTAAAAAGCATAGCCGATCGAAAGAGAGGTTCCTAGGGAAATGGAACTGGACCATGTTATGGACTTCGAGGACTATTTCCCTTCAATGATTGCACGCTTAGGAGCAGAAGGGTTCATCGGAGAGCTTTGCAGTGGCTTCCGTTTGCTGATGGACGTGAACAAGGGTCTCATCACGTTCGAGAGCTTGAAGTTGAACTGTTACTTGCTCGGTTTGGACGTTAGGGACGACGAGCTCGCATGCATGCTAATGGAGGGTGATTTGGATGGAGATGGTGCTCTCAGCCAAATGGAGTTTTGCATTCTCATGTTCAGGCTCAGTCCATGCTTGATGGACACACCCAAAATGCCTTCGGAGAATCCCATCTTCATCTAATGATGTGTACAATTTTACTCTAATTCTCTAAATGCTGCATCCTCTACGCCTTCTCTTACTCAATTCAGTAACATTTTCGTTTGGATGAGAGAATTAATTAGTGTATCTTGTTGTAAGTTGTAACCTTCTTTTGTTTTTGTAATTTTAAGGTTTCTCAAGAAATAATAAAAAATAAAATAAAAAAAGTTAACAAAAAATTAAAGAGGCCTCTGTGTAGTGTATTTTCTCTCTCTCTATTTCAGTGTAATGATTGGCCTCATGTGCATTATTATGACCTAATGGTGTCATGCACTGTTGTCGAAGATAACGTTCTGGAAAGGTGTTGGAGCAACGTCATTTCAAGTTTTCGTTGTATGGCTTATGAGCAACAGGAAGAGACACAGGCTCGCACATGGATACGAGCATTACTCATACATATCTATTTTACAATTATGTTTAGCTGTAATTCAAGATACGGGAATAATTAAATGCTTTTTCAAATTTTATATAATTATAGCACTTTGCTGTGATTGTTACAATTAACTTATTTTTAAATAAATAATAATTTGATGATGTAAAATAAGACAGTGCTATCCAGTTAATTGAAAAATGTGTTTGAATATTATTGTAATCTCTTTTTTACACAGTTGAATTCTTATAAATAAATTAAAATGTTTAGCTGTGTTAACCAAATGAAAATATACCATTTAATAAATGAGTATTACTTGGCTAACTTATTTGGGGGTTTCTTTACCAAGAGTGTAAATATTACGTGTGAAAAGCCCCTTTAATTCATATTGTACTATATGTATAAAAAAATGCCGTGTTAGTATAACTTATATTTTATCATAAAAACTTAAAAATTGGATCGCTTTTTTTTTTTTTAAGATAAAAACAAGTTAAATTAATATAATGTACTACTTTTGTTACATAATTATTTTTTTTTAGAAATCATTGATGATTTACAAATATCTAAAATACATTAATTTTTTTTTTCAGATATGCCTCTATTAACAATTGTTGTAATAAAAAAGATGTAACATAATTTTTAGGGTGAAAGTTTACCATAATTAATTAAATATATGGTTTGGATGGAACTAAATTTTTATTTTTTAAATAAAATATTAGATTTTAGATAAAGAATTATATTTGAGTATTGTTATATGTAAATAACTTAATTGAGAGACTCTAGCTACTAGAGGTGATGTCATTAATAAAGTCAATATATATGTTTTTATTAATAGCATGATTACTAAAAAAATAAAATAATAATTAAATTAAAAAATTACTCATAGTATAAAAATATCTTATATTTATTAAATGTTGTTTAATTAATCTTTGAGTTTTTTTCCCAACTCAACAAAGTAGTAATAAAAATTGAACATTTGTTAAATCCTTAATCCATTGTTTAATATATTCTTTCCCAAAATTAGTAATGTATGTCATTAAATTATCATAATTGATATATTCACTGGGGTCAACATTATGGTTTGGGTAATATATATAGATTCTGACTTTAATACCGCTAATGTCCACCAAAAATTAACATATTTAATATTTTCTTTGATTCTTTATATAATTTTTTTCTGTCATGTTAAAATAAAAAATTTCAATTTTATTCTTTATTGTAAAATCAATTAATTTCTTTTTATTTACACATGTTATAATATCCTTTTTAGAATGATATTATTATGTTACATCATTGTAAAAATAAGTAGAGTGAGGTTAATTTTATAATATTATTACACTCTTTTAATTATTTTTTATTTTTTATGTAAAAAAATTAAAAATAATACTTATTATGAAATAGAAATAATAAATAAGTAACTCTTCAACACTAATGAAATTATTTAGTTTATTATTACAAAAAAAGAGATATTTAGTTTATTTAATTTTAATTGATGATTTCATAAATTTATGCTTCATTAAGAAAATATACCTATATTTAAAGAGCTTAAATAATAGTTATGTTTGATCACATTACATCATTTATGTATTATTTAAGAGATAATTTTTTCTAATCAATAAGTATAACTTATATTGTTAATATATAGACCAATAAAGTCATCCACTTACCTATGGGATGAGTGTATTAAACACTAAAAGTAAAATGGTGGAAACCTACATATTTTCTATTATTACATGCATGATTATTATGATTAAACTAAATGTCACTTATATCTATAAATATTCAACCTAGGTATAAAATTTAAATATTGTTGCTGATAGCTAGATGTTTATTATAGATAAAACTTTAAAAATTATTTTTATACGACTTACATAATGAATAATGAATGTGTAATAAGAATGTTTATAAATTAGATTAGTTTGGATTTGTAGAAAAATGAAATCCGAACTAATTAATTTTTATTGGTCCGATTTGGTTTATATTTTAGTTTTTTTGTTTGTTGTCTAATTTGAATCAAATGATTCTGATATTGAATGGATTAGTTCAGTTTGTAACATCGAATAATCAATGATTCATATGACTAATGCTTACAGGTTAAAAAATATAATTGGATTTTATTAATAATGAAAAATTTAAAATTCATATTATTTAATTGATAAAAAATATTAACTATTTATATGATTTTTAAAAGATAAAATAATGACGGAAAAAAGTTAATTTTGATGTTGCGTAACTACTTAGGATTTGTTACCTGTCGCTATTTTCAGATCAAACAATTAATGCACCTTTTTTGTTATATATTTTGTATTTTATACAAGATACTTTGGCAGCAAACAAACAAAATAGTTTGGTCCTCTTTTGTATTTTATACATTATAACATGTGTTATTATGAATGATGAATTGTAAAGTCGTTTGGGCAATACGTAACACATATTTTACATAATCCGTTTTAAATGATTACTTTTAAATTTACACACGTGATAGAAGTTTACTAGACGACTGAACTTTTTTTTTCTTCTTCTTTTTTTTTTTTATCACCTTTTGGCTGAAACGTTTTTTCTTTTTTTATTATTTTTTATGGAGATTGAGATTGCATGTAATATTTTTCCACTTAAAAAACGAGAGATTTTTTTTGAACAGTAAATAGAAACAAAATAATGTATCAGTTAATATAAAATAAGCAAGTGTAGCAAAACAAACTTAATATCATAACTACCATTTGATTTAAAAAAAAAAACTATTTTCCATAATAAAATATGCAGTTTAATCAGACGATCACCATCAGGAATTCAGGATTTAGTGATTTACTATATTAATATTTCTTTATTTTTCACATATTACTAATTATCTATTCCGTACTAAGTTCATAGCATACACAATATCTCAGTGTCGATTAATGAACAAAGAACTATAATTCGATTGATACAATATTTTGTTGGTAGTTGCTACGGTAATTTCAAAGATCGAGAGGTTTCAATATACTTTTTTATATAAATTCATAAAAGATTTAAAAAAAATTAATTTAATTATAAAATAAATAATCTAAATTATACTTATAAAATAAAAAGTAAGATAAAATTATAAAAATTAAAATTATAAGATTTCAATAATATTATAAAATATTAAAAAAAATTAATAAATAGTAGAAATAAAAAATTATTAAAATTACAATATAGAAATTCAAAATTTTAAGACAAAAAGACATAAAATATTATTAAAAAATTATTAAAATTAAAATATAGAAATTCAAAAATTTTAAGTGAAAAGATAAAAATATACTTAAAAATTATTAAAATTAAACTATTTAAATATATAATAATATTATTACAAATAAATTAGAATATATAAAATAAAAA